TATATATATATATATATATATATATTTCTTTTCTTCTTTACTGTTGTTTTCTTCTTCTTTATGCTTAGAGTTTTTTCTTCTTCTTCTTAGTTGCAAAATGAGTTTGTTTAATTTTGTGGTTTTGATAATTTGATGATTGATACTTGTTCTTTATGATATTTGAAGTTATGTTTCAAATTTGAGCTCATTTGGAGTAGATTTGGGCGGCATTGAATCGTGTATTGGATTGTTGAAATTTAAAGAACAAGTTTATGTTTCAGAACTTAAGATTTGAAATCTGAAGTTGTATTCAATAGATTGAACTACTTAAGATTCGAATTTTTGAAATTGCATTTGAAAGATAAAGAATTTTAGATTTGATTTTTGAAGTTGCATTGAAGAGATTAAACTACTTCATATTCAAATTCATGAAGTTGCATTTTAAAGGTAAAAGAACTTCAGATCTGATTTCTAAAGTTGCATTGAAGAGATTGAACTCCTTCAAATCCGAGCAGGTACACTTTGCAAAATTTTAAACAATACGTGTATAACTTAAATCATTTTTCCTATTTTGTTGAAAAATATTTTACCTATAATTTATGTGGTAATACTAATATTGTCTCCTTTTGTCTTTTTGTTTTCTTGAGCCGAGGGTCTTTCGGAAATAGCCTCTTTACTCCTTCGGGGTAAAGGTAAGATCTGCATACACACTATCCTTTCCAGACCCCTCTAGTGAGATTTACTGGATTGTCAATATTGTTGTAATAAATTCAGTATAATCTCACAAGTGAAGTCTGGGAAACCTAATGTGTACGCAAGCAGTATTATCTCTACCTTGAGAAGGTAAATTGGAGCCATGATATTGCATTGAATTCCATTTAATGTTTGCCATCCCTTCTCCACCATGACACCAATCCATTTCTACCTATAAAAGGCTAATGAATGAAAGTGGTCATATCTCAAGGTAGAAAAAGAAAAAGAAAAGGGTGCTTAAAAAAAGAGAGAGGCTTAGTTAAAATATATACAAAAGAAATATGGCTAAGTTGTCCAATATGGTATTTGTTTTTCTTGGTTTATTAGTATTTGTTTGTACCACAAAAGCAAGAGAAGTGCCTAGTGAGAAAGGTCTTACTGATCAGAAAAATTTTGTAGGGTTTGGTGGTGTTGGAGGATTTAGTGGTATTGGAAGCAGTGGGCTGCCTGTTGGTGGAGTTGGTGGTGGTGTAGGTGGTCTTGGTGGTGGGGTAGGTGGTGGAGTTGGTGGTGCTAGTGGACTTGGTGGGCTAGGGGGACTTGGTGGGGCAGGGGGTAGTGGGATAGGGGGACTTGGTGGGCTAGGGGGTACTGGTGGACTTGGTGGATTAGGTGGGGTACCTGTAGGGGATGGTGCTGGTGGACTTGGTGGGTTGGGGGGTGGTGCTGGTGGACTTGGTGGATTAGGTGGGGTACCTATAGGGGGTGGTGCTGGTGGACTTGGTGGATTAGGTGGGGTGCCTATAGGGGGTGGTGCTGGTGGACTTGGTGGATTAGGTGGGTTGGGGGGTGGTGCTGGTGGACTTGGTGGATTAGGTGGTGCAGGGGGGTTAGGGGGTGTAGGTGGGTTGGGTGGTGCAGGGGGGTTAGGGGGTGGTTGTGATGGTTCAGGGAGTGGGGCTGGAAGTCTTCCATCACCATAAGAGGATATTTGATAGTTTAAGTCTAAGTGAAATTTTCATGCAAGTTTGGATATCAAAGTTCTTTTACAGTGTAATTTCGTTCTTTTTGTTTATTTAATTATATTTATTTGAGTTTGTTTGAACGTTTTGCATTGTATTAATTAAGTGACATATTTTTCAGATTTTCCGAATGTTGTGTTATAACTATATGAGGTTTACAATGTCACACTTCTTTATCTCTATTCTCAGATTCTGCATGCGCCCTGCATGCGAGCTATTATATTAGTGTTTTACTCTCCTCTTATTTTCATTTAGCTCTTCAAATGAATTTCACTATTCTTTCTTAATTAAAATTAAAAGGGTACGTGAAACTTCGCTAAAAATTTAAAAGTTAGATCCAAATATATAATTTCAAAATATAATAAATTCAATGTTAAAAATCTTAAATATCAAACCTATAATCTCAAAGTGCAATAAATTTAATACTAGGATCAGCCTATGTAGTAGGTATCAATTAAAGAGAGAGGTTGCAAGTGTGAGAAGACATTTAGGCTCTACAAAAAATTAATTTTATCACATTTTTTTGTCTACTAAGGTTGGAAAGTAAAGCGATAAAGAAACGGTAGGCAATATATAAATGGTTATAAGTTTCTCAAAGTTGCAGTTTCACTTCACTACACAATAATCTAATTAGTTGGACAAGAGTGTCTATTACCATATTTAAAGCTTAAAAAGCTATTGCAAAAACAAAAAACAAAATTTGAAGATTAATATTCAACCTTTCGAAACATGTTTGGCAATTAAAAAAAAAATTCTTTTTTCGAAATCAGTGTTTGGCAATGAGAATTTTAAATTTTCACTTGACGTAAAATTTCGGAATTTTTTGAAATTTAAAAAAACTCCAAAAAGTTATTTTTCAAAAATTTTCACTCCAAATCATCACAAGATTTCAAAAATGGCTCTAAATTATATTCATGTCCAAAAACAACTCTAATTTTCATATATCATTTTCACTTTTATCTGGAATTTGACAATTCTTACATCCAAACGTCACTCGATAAAACGAGTTTCGAAATCTTTAGAAGAAAATAAAAAATTTCATTTGCCAATTAGCCCAAACAAAAACATTATTTAGATGTGCAAATCCGTCAATCATTAGCACACATCAAGCAAATCATGAATGTTTTGTTTTGAAAAAAATTGACATTGAATAACAACTCTCAAAATATTATATGTTTAGTTTACCGGATAAAAATAGTTTCAGCCGCAAGCTAAAAATAATCTTTGTCAATTGCCTTTTTTTTTTCCCGGAAAAGGGCCAACAATACCCCTAATGTATTGAGAATGACTAAAAAATACCCTTCGTTAACCTATTGGTCTGCAATTGCCCCTAACGTTTGTTTTTGGGCTTAAACTTACCCCTATATCTAACTGAACTAACCTGGTCAATTTTTTGACTTTAACTTCGCCATCTAACATTTTCTTAACACCCCACGTGTATTATTTGTATTAAATAAAATACAACTGTATCTTTTTAAATACCTAACGACCCTGACCCGCTCCTATATATTTGGACGATCAACTATAAATAATTATATTCGCTAGTTAAATAAATAAAAAGATATACATTGATTATATAAAAAATATGTATATTATACATTACTACTTTAATATATATTTTACATGATATTATTTTTAGGAGAAATTATACAGTGTAGTTTTTCCTATTAGGACATCGCAAAACAAATAGATACTATAGGTTGAATGGTTCCCAGCAGTAAGCCGGCCACAAATTTCAAACAAAATTTAACTCAAAACAAGAAAAGAAGAAGCCATTTTTACATTTGTTTTTATAGTTTCAGGTTATTTGTCGCCATAGGCATGTGATTAAGGAACTACAGCTTTCTGGTACTGGAAAAAGATCCCGCAAGATGCATAACACTTGAGATAAAATGTAGAATGGTTTTTTCCTTTATTTTTTAATTATCCATAACAAGTAGAATCTACACCGTATAATTTCTCCTAAAATTAATATCATGTAGAATATACATTAAAATATTAATGTATAATATACCTATTTTTATATATAATCAATATATATATATTTTTTATATATTTAACTAGCGAATATAATTATTTTTATCCGACCGTCCAAATATATAGGATCGGGTCGTTGGGTATTTTAAAAGATTCAATTGGATTTTATTTAATACAAATAATACCCCTGGTGGGTTAAGAAAATGCCACATGGTGAAGTTAAAGTCAAAAAATTGACCAGGTTAGTTCTGTTAGATATAGGGGTAAGTTTGATCCCACAAACAAATGTTAGGGGCATTTGTGGACCAATAGGTTAACGGAGGATATTTTTGAGCCATTTTCAATACGTTAGGAGTATTGTTGGCCCTTTTTTTTAAAAGGTGGAGGATACAACAATTTGACCAAGTTTTGGGATTATATTGAATATAACTCAAAGTAAGCGGACCAATTTCGCATTTTAACCCTTAGGTATCAAAAACCCGCAAAAATTCCAAATATTTTTCACCATTCCTACAAACTTTCCTCTTTGCTCTTCAGCTGTCAACAGTTCTCCATTCTACACATCACACTTTTGATTCTGTAGCAAAAAAAATACGATAAATCAAAAAGGTTCAGACGGAAGATGGGACCCAAAAATTGCAAAGTATGCGACGATGCACAATCAAAATATAAGTGTCCCAATTGCTTCATACCCTAGTAAATATACCCTTTCTTGCTCTAATTATTTGAATTATGCTTATTTTGATTTTACTTTTAATCCTGGGTTTTGAGTTAGATGATTCATACAGTGGACTCCACTCAGGGGCGGATTTAGGGGGGCGCAAAGGGGTTCCGAACCCCCTTCGCCGAAAAATTACGCTGTATATATAAGGCAAAATCTAGTTTTTATCTCTATATATTAAGTTTTGAACCCCCTTAACACAACCCAAAAGTGTAGTTTAGTGGTCAAGGGGTTCAAAACATTCATAACGTCACAGGTTCAATTCTCACTAGCTACAAAAAAATTTTTGAACCCCTTTCGTGGAGATCCTGCGTCCGCCACTGTCTCCACTAGTTTGGATTGAGGCGTAATAGCAGTAGGTTTTGTTAATTTAAAGAATTTAAGATTTGTGCACTGACGGTGGAAAAAATATTTACATAATCATGTCACTTTCTCTATTTAATAGTATTGATTGGGAGATCTGTAATACAGATTTCCTGCTATAACAGGTAAAAGTGACATGAGAGTGTAAAAATTTCGTACATTGACGATATATTTATATAACTTAAGCTATGGTAAGCAACTTGTTATAACAGGTTAAATTACATTGACGATGATGTGAACAATTCGTTATAGTGTCAGAGCATATAACTTAAATGGGTTGTGTTATTAGAAAGATAATTGAAAGATCCGTAACTTTTTTGGTTGTTTTTGTTTTGGTCTTGCAGTTGTTCTTTGGTCTGTTTCAAGAAGCATAAAGGTTTGTTCTTGGAAACACATTCTATGAATCTGATTATTCATTGAGGCACTACTTATTTGTTTCTGTAGATTAAGATGAAAATGGGTTATAAACTTATACATGAGCTTATTTATGGATTATGCAGAAATTTTCTGTGTGAAACCGGAACCAGAACTGGAACCTTCTTCTGTGGAAAAGCTTGGTAAGGATAGCTTCTCAAATAAGAAGTTGAACTTTTTTCTCTTTATACCTTTGCATAATCACTATAAGAATGCGAATTACATGCATTTTTTTTCTTTAATTGTAGTTGAAGTTTATTGTCTTTGTTAGTATTTCATAATCAAGAGTTTCAGCCTTATTTGGTTGTCATTTAACTATCCTTCTTGCATCTAATGGTGCATTAAATTCAACAGCATTTTGAAAACTTCGATATGGCATGAACCTTCTCTTTGATGAATGAGTTTCTGGAGAATCAGATTGAACTTTCTGTCTGCTATGAATGTATAGTTTTAATTTTCGAGTTAATGGACTAATGAGTAATGCTTCTTACAACTTTTTCTAAGTAGCATCTTCAACTGGCTTAGCGCTGCTCTCATTTTCCTGCATTCACATCTTACTGTTAAAACTATTTAGAACCACTATCTTATGCATCTTCATTAAAAAGATCAAGGGATTTATGAGAATAGAAAGAAAGAAGTGAATATTCTCTCGGTCCTTAGACTACCTTAATTTGTAGTTTGGATTTTTCAAACTCAACCCCTACTTCTTTCGGGATAGTGTTTCACCTTCTATGTTTCTTTCTTCCTTTTCATAATTATTTTATATTACTAACTCTGTGAAGGAACCAACATTTTTATGTTTTTCTCATGTAAATAACCGGAACATCTATTATTCCACTTAAAGCTTCATGACATTTTTTGTTTGAGCATATTTACCTTTTATTTTCGGGAAGTGCTATAAGCTTTCCCATAATCAAATGGGTCTTGCATCCATCTGAATAGCCATTTCACCGCTGGCGAGGGTCCATCGGTGGGTAAGGTATGAGCGAAACAGAGGGAAAGTTGTTAGTTTCATTGTATAAATAGTAGTAAATAACCCTAATCCCATATGTATTAGGAGTAGGACATGTATTGTATATATATAGGGCTCATTGTATCATTGTCAAATTTTAATCAATAATAGATTTTTCTCCCGTGCATTCTCACATGGTATTAGAGCAACCGTGAGAAATTTATCGTTGTGCGTCATTCCAGCGATATCCGGGAAGAAAGAACTCAGTCACCGTGCAATTTTCCGGTGACCTAAGTGACTAATTGCGTCAAAGTCACTAATTATCAGTGTTGTGCAAAATCCAACACCACCACAAGGTTCCCAAGAGAGATCCGACCAAACCCCAGAAAAAATCACCGGAAAATAGCAAGCCACGCGCCGTCACGTGCCTGTCGGAGCTCTGCCGGCGGCGGCGCGTCTGTCCCACGCGCCGGCGCGTGAGACCCCTTCCGGTCAGATTTTGAAAAAGTTTCTTCAGAACAGCTTCATCTCCTTGCAATTCCGAGTCCATTGGTACTATTTCCGACAGATTCCGACAACTTTGGAATTTTCCGGCGAGCTACTGTGATTTTTCCGGCGTAAACAGTGATCCCCAGCAATTTCCTGCTTTTTCCGGCACGATATTATAATGGAATTCGTACCTGAAGCCTTTAACTCACAATCCGTTGGATTAAATGCAATAAATCCAATCCAGATGGTTTCTTTACCGGATTATATTGAGTTCCTTCAGTACAAAGCACGTAAACAGACATCTTCAGGATTAACCTCCGTTGTTCCAACAAATAGTAGCATGACTGGTGTCTCCCAATCTTCACCTTCTGAGTCTTGGGTCATTGATTCAGGTGCATCTGATCATATTTCTGGTAACAAATCTCTTTTCACTAGTATCTCATATTCTCAATCTCTTCCAACAGTCACAATGGCCAATGGGTCTCAAGCCATGGCAACTGCAATAGGTCAAGCAAGTCCACTTCCTTCCTTACCTTTAGACTCAGTTCTTTATGTTCCTGGTAGTCCTTTTAATCTCATAGCCGTTAGTCGCTTAGCCAAATCACTTAAATCTGCTGTTTTATTTCTTGATGACCTTGTTTTTATACAGGAACGCAGTACAGGGCGGATCATTGGTACCGGACGTGAATCAGATGGACTTTATTACCTTATCCTTGCAAAATCACATGGACTCGCATCTTGTCTTCCTCCAATAACTTCTCCCGTTACTGATTCACCAGATTTATTACATAAACGGTTAGGACATCCCAGTTTGTCAAAACTTCAGAAAATGGTACCTGGCTTATCTCACTTGTCCACTCTAGAGTGTGAGTCGTGTCAGCTCGGTAAGCATACCCGCTCCCATTTCCCGCGGCGTCTTGACAATCGAGCAGAGTCACCTTTTACTTTAGTCCATTCAGATGTTTGGGGTCCTAGTCGGGTTAGCTCTACCTTAGGATTCCGCTACTTTGTCAGTTTCATTGATGATTATTCCAGGTGCACTTGGATATTTTTGATGAAAAATCGATCTGAGTTGTTTTCTATTTTCCAGACCTTCCATGCTGAAATTCAAAATCAATTTGGGGTTTCTATCCGCACATTTCGTAGTGATAATGCCCTAGAGTATTTGTCTTCCCCATTTCAGCAATTTATGAACTCCCATGGGATTATTCATCAAACATCTTGTCCGTACACATCCCAACAAAATGGGGTAGCTGAAAGAAAGAATAGACATCTTATTGAAACTGCTCGTACCCTACTCATACAATCTCATGTTCCGCTGCGTTTTTGGGGGGATGCAGTTCTTACATCTTGTTATCTTATTAATCGTATGCCATCTTCAGCTATCCAAAATCAAGTTCCATTCTCTGTCCTGTTTCCCCACTTACCTTTGTTCTCTCTTCCACCCCGTGTCTTTGGGAGTACGTGCTTTGTTCATGACCTTACTCCAGGAAAAGATAAGTTAGCTCCTCGTGCTCTTAAGTGCATATTTCTGGGTTACTCGAGAACGCAAAAGGGATATCGATGTTATTCTCCTGACCTTCAGCGATTTCTTATGTCTGCTGATGTTACCTTCTTTGAAACCCAATCATACTTCACAGGTCCAGTTAATCACTTAGATATTTCTGAGGTGCTACCTGTTCCTTCTTTTGGAGATTCAGTCCCTATCTCCCATTCATCTTCCTCCATAGCTCCACCGCCTACAGTTCCAGTTACAGCTCCACCACCTATAGCTCCAGTATCACCACCGAGTCCAGTGCCACCACCTAGTCCAGTTCCACCAACTCTAGCTCCAGTGCCACCACCTAGTCCAGTTCCACCAACTATAGCTCCAGTGCCACCACCTAGTCGAGTTCAACCTTCTACAGCTCCACCACTCCTGACTTATCATCATCGTCCGCCCCCAGCATCAGGCCCATTTGATTCACGTCCTACACCTGACGCTGCTAATACTGCGGACTTGTCTCCTCTTAATCAACCGATTGCACTACGAAAAGGTATACGGTCCACAGTTAATCCTAATCCTCATTATATCGGTTTAAGTTACCAACGTCTCTCATCATCCCATTGTGCATTGGTGTCATCTTTGTCCTCTGTTTCCATTCCTAAGTCTACAGTTGAAGCACTGTCTCATCCCGGATGGCGACAGGCTATGATTGACGAGATGTCTGCTTTACATACGAGTGGTACTTGGGAGCTTGTTCCTCTTCCTTCAGGTAAATTGACTGTTGGTTGTCGTTGGGTGTATGCAGTCAAAGTTGGTCCAGATGGCCAGGTTGATCGACTTAAGGCTCGTCTTGTTGCCAAAGGATATACTCAGATATTTGGACTCGATTATAGTGATACTTTCTCTCCCGTGGCTAAAATTGCATCAGTCCGCCTTTTTCTATCCATGGCTGTTGTTCGCCATTGGCCTCTCTATCAGTAAGACATTAAGAATGCTTTTCTTCACGGTGACCTTGAGGATGAGGTTTATATGGAGCAACCACCTGGTTTTGTTGCTCAGGGGTGAGTCTAGTGGCCTTGTATGTCGGTTGCACCAGTCCCTCTATGGTCTAAAGCAGTCTCCTCGAGCCTGGTTTGGTAAGTTCAGCACAGTTATTCAGGAGTTTGGCATGACTCGTAGTGAAGCTGATCACTCTGTATTTTATCGACATTCTGCTTCAGATCTCTGTATTTATCTGGTCATTTATGTTGACGATATTGTTATTACCGGCAATGATCAGGATGGTATTAGTAAGTTGAAGCAACATCTCTTTCAGCACTTTCAGACTAAGGATCTGGGCGATTAAAGTATTTTCTAGGTATTGAGGTCGCTCAGTCTAGTTCAGGTATTGTGATCTCACAACGGAAGTATGCCTTAGATATTCTTGAGGAGACATGAGTGATAGGTTGTAGACCTGTTGACACTCCGATGGATCCGAATTCTAAACTTCTACCAGGACATGGGGAGCCTCTTAGCGATCCTGCAAGATATAGGCGGTTGGTTGGTAAATTTAAATTACCTCACAGTGACTAGACCTGACATTTCCTTTCCTGTGAGTGTTGTGAGTCAGTTTATGGATTTTCCCTGTGATAGTCATTAGGATGCAGTTGTCCGCATTCTTCAATATATAAAATCAGCTCCAAGCAAAGGCTTATTGTTTGAAGATCGAGGCCATGAGCAGATCGTTGGATACTCAGATGCTGATTAGGCAGGATCACCTTCTGATAGACGTTCTACGTCTGGATATTGTGTCTTAGTAGGAGGAAATTTGGTGTCTTGGAAGAGCAAGAAACAGAATGTGGTTGCTCGGTCTAGTGCAGAAGCAGAATATCGAGCAATGGCCATGGCCACATGTGAGCTAATTTGGATCAAACAGTTGCTCAAGGAGTTGAAATTTGGTGAGATTAGTCAGACGAGACTTGTGTGTGATAATCAAGCTGCTCTTCATATTGCGTCAAATCCAGTGTTCCATGAGAGAACTAAACACATCGAGGTTGACTGTCACTTTGTTAGAGAAAAGATACTCTCGGGAGATATTGCTACAAAATTTGTGAAGTCGAATGATCAGCTTGCTGATATTTTCACCAAGTCCCTCACTGGTCCTCGTATTAGTTATATATGTAATAAGCTCGGTACATATGATTTATATGCACCAGCTTGAGGGGGAGTGTTAGTTTCATTGTATAAATAGTAGTAAATAACCCTAATCCCATATGTATTAGGAGTAGAACATGTATTGTATATATATAGGGCTCATTTTATCATTGTCAAATTTTAGTCAATAATAGATTTTTCTCCCGTGCATTCTCACAAAAGTGAAGGGGAGGGTTACAGGGAAACCGGAGGAGGAAGAAGGTGGGTTATACAGTGTTGTAGAGGCTACATGAGCCTGGGGGTTAGGTCGTCCGTTATTTTAGGGCTTTGGGTATTTCTTAAAAGCTGATGGTTAAATGGCTGGAAAAGAGGAAGGTGCTTACCAGGTTCTCGGGGGATGGTTGCTGGTTTTGGATGTAATTGTTACAGTGGTCTAGCACCATAATCTAAAGAGATTGAGGCACTTTTTTTTTTTTTTTTTTTTTCTGTTTTTGCTTTTGTTTTTTCCTCCAAAGAGCATTGAATATTTGTATTTCCGTAAAAAGCAAGTTATGATCATCAACCCTCTTCATCGCTATATATGTAAAAATGAGTCAGCATGATTTTACGCTTCGATTCCGACTAGTTTGTGTGAACCAGTGATGAATTCTGGTATAATTCAGGCATTTTTTGGTGGTTTTATTTAAGCTTGATGTATTGTTTGCTACTTTAAGATTGTAACATGCCTCGACTTACATCTATCAGCTTCTGCTCCGGAATCACATGTGGAGAAGCCAATCTGCGTTGATGAGCAAAGCGAGGTGCTGAATCAGTCGCGACTAGAGTCTATAGGTATGTTTCACAAAATTGTGTAGTAGAAAATAATACCGATTCTCATGAAGCACTTGAGTATCTCATTCACTACATGAATTCTGTAACATAGGGAGCGGATGACATACAACTGCACACGCTCTTCATGAGCTTATCATATTTGTAAAAATGCACGTACTTGTGCTTCGAGAGCGACCTCCAGATAAAAATACTTGTTCCCTTCCTTAAGGAGGGATATGATGGCGCTCAAATGGAAGAGAAAAACGTGACATGTGTTTTTTCATATTATCGAAATACACGTCATGTTCCTTTCATTAGACTGAATAAATAGTTTCTACAATGTTATAGCTTGAAATCGGAAGGATTTGTGCTTCAGTATCATCTTTTATCAGGCATCATTCGTTTCCAGTATGATTAATGATAAGGCATATGTTTTTGCTTAAGGTAGTAGAAGGGCATGATTTGCTGAGAATCTCAACTTAGTAAGAGCCAAAGCTACTGATGCCGAGTTTAACTTTGATTTTCCTACTATACCTCTTCTATATTCTAGTTTCGAGAAATGCACATACTTCGGCTTCAAGAATTGTAGACCCCTTATTGGACTTTGTCTACAATTTTTTCAGATTTACAGCCCGTTGATGGACCTTTCTATAACCCTCCTCCCAACAAAAATACCGATTTATTAGACTAGACATTGAAGGTTTTGTTAGCATCTAATGAGTTTCTTCTTATGTGCCAAACCAATACTGTTTCTTGAGTTATTCATTTCCCCAGTAACATCTTCTAGCCTCGTTGCAGCTTCTTCCAATGAAATTCGTGAGGCTATACGGAACAAAGAGCTTCAAAATCTCATATGCAGCATAGATTCTTCTATGGATGCGGAGGCTGTAAGTACCATAGCTCTGCTTAATTTTTAAATTTTATTATTATGTGTGTGTGTGTGTGTGTATACACACACACACTTACTTTGCCTTACCATAGACCTACTTAAATATCCAATATTGTGCTATTTTAATAGATTTAGGGTACGTAGTCAAGCCAAAGGACAATATATCTACTTTAGTCGAAATGCTAATTGGAAAAGAACTTGAAATAAATATTTGTTCCAATGGAACCTTCTATCCTGCTGTAGATTGGACAAAGATACACAACCCAATCCATTATTCTTTTCTATTTATTATTCTTTTTATACTCACAAAGCAAATAATTATACCAAATGCAGACAGTGGAAGGGATGAATCTGTTGTTAGTTCCTATAAATGATCATTCAGGAGTATTGTGAATATTTTTCAAAAGACAACAATCAAATAATTTTATGTGGCGAACAAAATATTTCTCATCTCCCCTTTGACTAGATCTTTTTTCCTTTCTCAAAGGAACGTTAATGCTGCTTCAATTTTCTATTATCGTTTGTCAGGAACTTGACAAGGCAATGGACAAGGAAGAATTTCGCATATTCAGTGAAAAGGTAAATGTGGCATTCCCCCTTCCCTCCAGACAGTACACATATAATAATATCATACTTCAATAATAATAATTCTTACAAGGCAACCTTTTTCTGGTACTGCTTAATGTCATGTCACTGCAGATTTTGTCCATGATTAGTCAATGAAGACTTCAACAGAAGCATGATTTCTTGACAATGAATGGTGTTGTAACAAAGGTAGATCTTCTCCCATGGTTCAGAAGCTATCGTTAAGTTGTTCGGGCATGGGATCATATCTACCAAGAAGATTTTGCTAGGATCATGTAACTGCAGACAGTTCAGATTCAGCATCTCCTTAAACTGTGCTTAGGCAAAACAATTTGATTTTCTCCCTGCAGCTTAGTTCATTCTAAGCTTCGCCAGCCCTGGGATTTTTCCCTTTGCTTCTGTTTCCAGTTATTTGTACCTTGAACGAAACGTTTAGATAACCCTTTTTTTTTTTTATTTTATGTGTTGAAAGTTTAGACAAAATATTGCCTCTCTCTTTTACACCAAGGGTGAAACCAGGAAAGAAAGATATGATAATCTTGCAGCATCTGTCATTGTAAATTTTGCAGGAATCATTAGTTTCTATATTTGTTAACTTTGTCTAAAGAGGTGCCTGATTTGCAAGGTATTACCTTCTCTATCCCATTTTCTCAAAAGAATGACGCCTTTCAGTTTTTGGAACTATTTAATCTTAACATCCTCATTTTACTCTCGTCTGACATGACTTGTTAGGACCTACTTAATATAAAAGTTCATTCTTGAGAGAATGAAAAGACACGTGAAGAAAGAATTAATGGGGTGCTTTGTATATATTTAGCTAGCGTTTGGTCACAGATCCCAAATTTGTTTTGAAAAATTTGATTTGGGTGAAATTTGATTTGAAGATGAAAATGTGTTTGGACATACGTTTTCAAAACATATTTTTCAACTTTATTTTGGAAAAACATGTATATAATTCCCAAGTTTTGGGATTTTCGCCCAAAATAAGCTCAATAGCTGATTTTGAGATTTGAAATTTGGGATTTAGGATTTGGCCAAAATATGGGCAAAATTTATGGCCAAACATGAGTTTTGAAAATAAATCCCAAATTTATTTTGGCAAAACTCATGACCAAACGGGGCCTTAGTTTACGTGCCAAAACACTTTTTTAATTTCATAAACTTTGTGTCTAGTCAAATACCTTCACAGGAAATGGAACGGACGTGACTGTAGGTAATATTCTAACAAGTTTGACAACCAGCAGTTGATTTTAAAGGGATAAAAATACAATATATAAAGCAATACTAATTCTATCATAATAATTACAAATTAGTGAAGTTATTCGTATTAGTCAGCCAGTGTAGACTGCACTCTTGTTTCTCTTAAATCTCTTACACTACAAAATTTGGCTCTCTTGGTCGATCCACCTTGTAATCAACCTGCAAAAGCACAGAAATTGAATAAAATACCAAGTTTATATCAGTTTTCTGAATTTGGCACTGATAGTCAAGAAGTCATATTAGCTAAAAACGAGACAATATTTTTTAGCACCTTCTTGCGTAATTTGTGCAAAAAAGACAGCTCGGTGCACTAGGCTCTCGCTATGCGCGGGATCCGTGGAAGGGCCGGACCATAACAGTCTATTGTACGGATTTCTGTAAGAGACTGTTTCCATAGCTTGAACCCCGTGACCTCCTAGTCAAGTGGCAGCAACTTTACCAGTTACGCCAAGGCCCCCCTTCATGTAATTTGTGCAAGAGATTTAAAAACAATAAGTTAAAGTTCTATGCTTGCTATCTTCTTGTTGCTCGAACATATACTAATACATTCTCTATCTATCCCGTTTTATATGATACTCTTTCTTTTTTAGTCAATTCTAAAAAGGATGACACCTTTTTATATGTAGAAACTCTTTCGTTTTTTCATTTTACCCTTAATGACATGCTCTTATAGTCATAAATATGCTTAAGATCACAAGTTCTAAGATTCAAGTCTTTCTTTCTTAAATTCCGTGCTCAGTCAAATACCGCTATACTGTTAGGACGTTGCCATGAATTTCTAATCTATTAGGACTCTCTTTCTTGAAGGAATGGAAAAAGACTCCTAAAAGTATTAAATCTCCTTAATATGTCTTATCCTTTTCTTGGAAGACTTTTGCACATCTATAAATTAAGGATCTCTACTTCTCACATGAGCACAAAAAAAAATATCCACAATGTAGTCATTAAAGCGTTTTGTTTAGGGGGAGATTTTTCTCTCGATAGTTTTTCTTCTTTTATATTAGTTTTATCATATGTAGGTCAATTGACCAAACCATTTTAAACTATTAAGCTTAGTTTAGTATATTTTTCTTTTGTCGTCTGATTTATCGTCCACCAAGCTTTGTATTGTTAGTTTTCGCATGCACCATGTTATTTCGATCCCAACGTATAAATGAAACAGCAGGAGTAACAAGTTAATAATGTAAGATACTAAGATGCACTTGTTTTTGCGCCCTTCAGTGTTGACTAATCTTTTCCTTAATCTTCAGTCTGGTATAACAACCATAATAATGTACTCCTTCCATTCACTTTTACTTGCTCACTTTAAACTTTTCACGTCCCTTAAAAAATAATAAATGTAGTATATATTTTACCATATAACTCCTAATAGTGATAGCATTTCAAAAGGTCTTGAGAAATAATTTTGAAAATGAGCAATTATTGATAAGGGTAAAACAGGAAAAAAAATATTGTCTTTCTCTTGATTTAATATAGTGGAGAAGTAAAAGTGAAAATGTATTTTTAGTATAGTGTACAAATAAAAGTGAACGGAGGGAGTAATATGTAAAAGTATGAATATCTGAATCATAAAGTTACCAGTTTGATGATTTGCTGGACTTCCTTCTATGCGGCTGCTTGGGTTACTGCTGCTGGGTTGTTCCACTCGCTGACTTTGCATTCAAAAACTGTGTATTATGAAATGATTTTTTTAAAGAATATGCAACAAATTAAGGTAATGAGAAAACAAGCTGTTTTAGACGGTTGACCACAGTTGATATTGATTTTAGTCTCCGTTGCAAGATGCAATTCTGGGTGATAGTTCCACATGATTATCGTCATCATGACAATATGAATATATGTGAATCAAGATTTAGTTGGGGTTTCGGCATTTTTCTCATGATTGAATGAGTGTGAAGTGTACCGAGGTTAAGGTACAATCAAAGCTCGAGATGTTAGAAGGCGCAAAATTAATGAGTGCAAGAGCTGCTATTGAACTCCAAAACATTTAGACTTATGAAACTAAGGGGGCGGGGCTGAAAAAAACAATAAACAAATATAATGAGTGAGAAGAACAAAGGACTTGCCTGTGGTAACACTTGTGCCTGGTGTAGAGCATAATATTGTTGATATGGATCACTAAGATTTGGAAGTCTTGGCTGATTAGTATTATGTCCAACAAGTGAGTTCATCATCGGATGATCTGGTTGGTTCGCTGCTCGGATTCTGGACGGATCAGGTACAGGAACTGATGCTGGAACAGGAAATCTAGGAGTCATTTGTGCTACTGCAGCTGCATTCTGCATTGCCGTACCTGGCATTAGAGATGGATATGGAACCATTGGCCGGTTCATGCCCATTCCCGTACCCATCCCCATACGCATACCCATTCCCATCGTTGGCATGTATTGCGGGGCTCCAGGATACATCATAGGGACCATGCTATATCCCCTGGACATCATCTGCAGGCAAGTAGCTATGATCAAACTGTATCCTAAACTGATCACTTATTTTTTTTCCCTAGCAGGTTCAAATTAAGATACAAGACATGTTAACTTAAAAGCAGGATTTTACATACTGGGATCATATACAGCATGAACAGGATAACATAAATAACGACATAACAAAGCAGCACCAAGAAATAGTTAACAAATTCTGGAATAACAGAAATATGTCATACACTGAATTATTTCCAGTAGATGTGCCAAAGCGAGAGCCTTGGCGTAACTGGTAAAGTTGCTGCCATGTGACCAGGAGGTCACGGTTTCAAGCCGTGGAAACAGCTTCTTGCAGAAATGCAAGGTAAGGCTGCGTACAATAGACCCTTGTGGTCCGGCCCTTCCCCGAACCCCCCGCATAGCAGGAGCTTAGTGCACCGGGCTGCCCCCTCCTTGAGCCAAAGCGAGACTTGGATTTTCCGGTTCCTAGTCTATTAAACTAAAAAGTGTTGGTCCTTCCCATTAATCAAAGTCCAGCTAATGCTTCCTTTCAATGAAATTTGATCGGTGAAGTTGTTCTACAACTACCTAACCACTTATGACCTCAAACATACTACGATTTTCATAAATTCAAAACTGCCAAGAACCTTTATAACACCAAAGATCTCCTCGGCATTGGAGTAAACTTCTACAAAGAAGGAAACTTTAAAAGGTGAAGCGTCAAAATGGAAAAAAACAAAGTAATTTACATTCCTTATAATTCAGAGTACCAAAAATCCTGATATTGGATCAGAATTATTCCAACCGATACATGACTTAGAACTTCTGATAATTTAAATTCCAATACGAGAAAGAGAATGTTAACAAATATTACCTGCACTTGCATTTGCAATGATTTAACGTACTCAATCACTTCATCCAGCATTGAAGCTTTGTCTGACTGAAAGTTGATAAAAGAGTAACTATAATATGAAAACAAGAATTCACTTTCCATTAAGAGCAGTACTCTGATGAACAGAAAATAGCGTAAAAACCTTATTGCACCGCGGTATAAGTTCTTGTAGAGCCTTCATCTTCTCATTTATTCTATCTCGACGTTTCTGCATTCACATATTTATTATCCAATCATACTAGAAAAGTAGTTATACCATACCATCCGGGATGCACGCTTACCGAAGCGATGTCACGCTCCGTCGGAAAATTTTATCAAATATATGTGTTAATACTGTACGGAAAGTATATACCCTTTCAGAAAGATTATGGACCTCTGCGGCACGAGATCTCTTTGTGGATGTAGAACTGCTGGTTTGCTTCTTTGCATCAGCTGACTCAAATTCAGCATCCTAAGACAGTAGAAATAAAGCAAAAGTTAATGACATAATAAAGGAAAGTCTGGACCAGCACAAATTTTTCGAAAAGAATTAGAATTATGATATTCCCTCCGTTTCAATTTATGTGTCTTAGTTTGACTGCGTACAAAGTTTAAAAAAAGTAAAAAAGACTTTTAAATCTTGTGATCTTAAACTAAAGATTAGTGTAATGTACCAAATCTTGCGGTCTTAAATGTACTACTCCCTCTTGCAGTCACTAGTTATTTTATTTGTACATTGAAAATCATGTTAGTTTATATATACTCAGAGACATTTCCATTGCCTCCTACTCATCTGTTTCATACCTTAAATAGACAGTTCAACTTAAATGCTGCTGAACTTATTCCTTTCAATAAAATGCAGATTTGCATTCCTCATGTCAGTATCCAGACTACAATCTAGACTAAGGAGAGACAGAGCTACTGGCATCTTCAGCCTGATCTCCAAAGGGAAAAGGGCCAAATATACCCCTCTACTTTTTCATATATTGTCTACATTTAACATCCTTTATACTATCAGGCCAAATTTACCCCTAAAATAAGCAAACTTTAAAAAAATTACCCTTCAGTCCGTCAAGTGACCCAAAATCTCCCAAATCATTTTAATTAAATCACTTGTTCTTCTTGCTCCATTATTTTTAGAAATTAGTATTGATGTGAATGCTAAAGAGTTACTAGAATATACAAATTATTCATGAAAAAAAACAAAATTAATTACCAATACACCCACTTCTCTTCTTGTAATAATGGGTTTGGAGTTGGTTTAAAATTTTATTTTTTTTTCAATCATATACATACCGTATAATTCAGTGGGTCTATTTATTGTGTATTATATGTAGATGATTATCATGAATGTACATGTATATTCAAATATATTTTGTCATTGTGTAGGCATTTAATTAAAACAAAGTTGAATTCAACATTCTCCAAGGAACTTCAACTTCAATCACTAATACTTGCAAAGTCTTCATACATTTGGTGCAACAAATTCATTAAAACTGGGATGTCGTAAATACTTTTAGAATTTAGAAAAGCTACCTAATTTAGATTTTTCAATTTACTATACTTTTGTTTATTTGGTTGTATTATTTAATATTTTTTCTCTTATTTTTTTCTCTAATTCAGAAGTAGGTAAGTGCCAATTATTTCGAATATAATGGAGCAGAAGGAACAACAAGTGATTTAATTAAAATAATTTTGGAAATTTTAGGTCACTTGATGGACTGAGGGGTAATTTTTTAGTTTGCTGATTGTAGGGATAAATTTGGCCCGGTGGTATAACGGTTGGGGTAAATTTGGCCCGATAGTATAACGGAGGTTAAATGTAGACAATATATGAAAGTACAGGAGTATATTTGGCCCTTTTCCCATCTCCAAATGCATCTCGCAATGTATTTCAATTAGGCTAAACCACGTGGAAATGACACCAGGTAGCTAATTTTAAGTATGCTGTTTAAAATATATCCATAGTTTATAATGTATTTAAAGATTAGCCAATTTCGCTCAAACTTTAGGACACAACGTCCTAGAGTTTAAATCTCAAAGTTCAAACTTCATGACATCGCGTCCTAAAGTTCGAAAATTATGTCCAGAAGCTTGAATCTTATGTCATGAATTTTAAATTAGTAGTTCAGAAATTCAGGACACTTAAGGTGTGTTTGGTATGAAGGATAATATTTCTAGAAAATATTTTCCAATTTTCCCATGTTTAGTTGGCTCAAAAGTTTTGGAAATCATTTTCCTTATCAACTCATTTTCCTCCAATTGGAGGAAAATATTTTCCTTATCAAGAGAAGGGAAAATATTTTTCAGAACTCCTTCTCAACCTTCCCCACCCTCACCAACCCAGCCCACACCCCCACACCCTCCCACCCAACCCTACCCACCCAATCCCCTCTCTCTAAAAAGGCTTTTTTTTTCCGTCACCACCCTGCTACCCACCCACCCCACCCCCCACCCCCGACGCAATTTTTTTTTTTTTTTACTTTTTGTTTTTAGTAAATTTCAAATTGTCTGTTTTTCGTTTTCTGCTACCCCTCCCTCCCACCCCGCCAAACCCACCTCCCATCTGCCCCTCCCCCCTCCCGGTACTAATTTTTTTTCGTTTTTTTTTTTACTTTTTTTTTTGTAATTTCAAATTTCTGTTTTTGGTTTTTCTTTACCACCCCTCCCCCACCCCGGAATATATATATATATAGTTTTAGTTTTTTCCTCTTTCGGTTTACAGGTTCGAAATTTTACAAGTTCCAAAGTTATGAGTTCGGAGGTTTATGTGTTTGGAAGTTTACGGGTTTAGGAATTATAAAGTTTACGGGTTTGAAAGTTCACGGTTTCGAAAGTTTAGCGGTTTGGAAGTCTATGAAATTTGTGGGTTCGGAAGGTTGTTGGTTCGAAAGTTTATGGCTTCATGTTTATTGTATCTAAATTATTTATGAATACTCTTGAGAAGTTATTTTTCTTAATTTGCGTACCAAACATAGGAAAATGAATAAGATTACTACTTGTTTTCCAAGAAAACATTTTCTTGAAAAATATTTTCCACGGAAAACATTTTCCGTTATACCAAACACACCCTTAGTCCCAAATTTCAAATTAGCAGCTCTAAGTCCTGAATTTTCCAACTTCAGAATACTTAGTCCTGAAGTTAGGGTGAATTGACTAATCTTTTTTTAAATAGCGGGTTTAAAAGTAGCTATTGCCGCACTTCGCCCATAAACCACAAGGTCTTGAAAACCAACAGACTTATGATAACTAGCAAGGATATACTCAAGCAAGAATATGAAAATGTGAAAGTACTATATAATACAATAAATAAACTTTAATTTTCTCTTGTCCCATTTGATGTGAATGTATGACTATTTGGGGAGAAAAGCATATTTTTCTTTGACTACAATTTTCTCCGAGTCGTTTTTAAAATATTTGAAATTATTAACTATGTTGACTTATGATAATACTTTTCCTGCAGTATTTAAATATATAAATTTTATTTTAAAATTAGTTACATCGACCCTTGTCACCTAATACTTTCACATAAACTAAGATGAATGGAGTATGATTTTTTAAATTTATTTAATATTATTTATATATATTAGATACTAGAAACTACTAGTATATGATTTTAAAATATTGATGCCATTTAGAAAAAAATATAACTTTTAAGGTGAGAGGCGTTGATACTATTACGAAAAATGAGAAATACAATTTGACGAATAATTTTATACATTAAATAAAAGATGATATTTGTTTGATCAAAAAGTGTTAAGCTTTTTGTTAAACTAATTAATGAGGAAATAGAGGGTGAATCCTAGTTAAACATAATAAATTCTAGATCTAAGATTGAAGGGGATCCGTGGGATGAGACCGTGTTCGAGAATAATAAATATCAAGTACGTGTTCAATGATTGTAAATGAATGTTATAATAAGAACATGCAATTGTAGATAATTGCAATAAATGTAATAAAGATGAATTTATCACCAAAATGTTAGAAGACTTGGGTGATTCTTCTTCCTGACAGCAACGTGGAATAATGAAAAGTGAGGATGGATAAGGAATCTTTGGATCTTGTAGACAAAGAGTGAACAACGTGCGTTGAGCAATAGAATCAGTGAACAAGACAAGCTTTTGTATATTCTCTATGGTCAACCCTTTACAATGTGCCTTTATCAAAAAGTGAAGATCCCCCTTTTGTTCTTTATCTCTTCCTATTTATAAGGAATATCCCCAAGAAACCCTAAAAAGTACAACATAAAGAATATCCAATGGAATATTCCTTTTGTCTATTACTAAACCTATCCTACTGTTGCTTCCTTTCTCCCTTTACTTGACCTCGAGAATAATCCTTCTTAAGACGACTCCTCGCCATTGTGCCGTGGTCGGCTCTATCCTCGACCATGTTTATTTGCAGTTATTAAGCCGCCCAAATTTAGACCAATACAGTTAGTCCCTCCGCTTGTTGAGGTCGTGATCTTACACGTTCTCGATGAGCAGATCCGGTCTGCAACCGTTAAGAAGAAATTTGGTCGTGTTGATTGAATCGAATCGGCCGAGGTCGAAAAAACAACGTGGCCAGCGGGGCTGCGGTTGGCGTGGCTAATGTGGGGTGACGTCATGGCCACGCGCATCATCATTGCGCGTCTTCCCAATGCAGTGTCTGTGCTTCTGTTAGGGGTGTGCATTCGATTTTGACCCTTATCGATAATTACTTATCGATTATCGATTTGTACATATGCTTATCGTTATCGTTTCAATAAGGTTTCGATTTCGATTTATCGATTTTTGGGGCTTATCGATCGGTTATCGATTACACCAATAAGAAAATTTGCGGGATTCCACAGAAAGTATATCGCTATAAACACGCCTAACTAATATGGACCAAAAGAAGCTAAAATAAGACGAACACCGTTTATAACATAAAAATTGTGTCAACAAGCACATGCAACGAAACTAAAGTAAGGGATCAAATGTATGCCACCAACACTCCAACGGTAAAAAAAAAAATACATCATCACGGCTAATTCTATTTTTCATTAATTTGAACTTCATTCCCTTGAGCTTTAAATATGATCGTTCCTTAAATGTGGTAGATGAAATAATAGGGTTAGGGACTTAGGGTAAAGGAAAGGGTATTATAGAATAAGGGTAAAAAAAAAATTAAAAAAAAAATTAATTTTTTTTTGTATTTCTTATCGGTTTATCGATAAACCGATAACCGAAGAGGACAAAATCGAAATCGAAATCGATAACTCGATAAGGAAAATTTCGAAATCGAAATCGAAATCGATAAATCGATAAACCGATATCGATAAACCGATAACAAATAATCGATTCGATTTATCGATAAACCGATTCGAATGCACACCCCTAGCTTCTATCGCTTCGGTTTTGGTGCCATTGACGGTACTTTGCTTCGATTCTGGTGTCACATCATTTCTCATTTCGCATGTGTATTGTTTCTTTGATATTCTTCTCCGAT